TAAAATGGTGTAGCTCAATCCACTTGGAGTTTTGGAAAAATCTAAAACCATATAATAACAAAAAGAAAAATAGAAAAAGCTAGGTTAGCTGTTGGGCTAATAAATTCATGATCACCAATCTCATCCTTCTTCCCTCCCCTAAAAAACCACAGACGTTGAACCATGCAAAAACTCTATGATAAATGACAAAGAATGTGTTGGTGCTACTTCTTTATCACCACCCCCCCCCCCCCCCCGAAAAAAAAAAAAGAGTAATAAAAAAGGTTGCTCGCTTTGACTACCAAACTTCTCATTTCCAATTTTTCCATTTTTATAAGAATTTAGGATAAAATTTCTGATCAACATGGTTTTTAAAATATAGCAAAGTAAAACATCTAGATATATAAAAAGAAAAGAAAAATAATACAATGGTTGAATAATCAAAATGTGAATCATTTAAGGATATTAGGGAATGGAAGTTGAGAGAAGCAAAGGGTCCTTGCTTATTAATTAATTTAGAAAATAATAAGTCACATATAGACTAGTTCTCCATAAATTATCATATAGTTTTTACTTATTTTGATAGAAAGTCATACAGAAATATATATCATATTTACATCTAATAATGGAGAACCTATATATTCCACCATGGAGGATTTGAACCTACATTAATGGTTTTTTGTTTTTGATATTTTTTAATATTTATTTTTATATTTTATAAAATTATATGTACAAAAAAATTTACAATTACAATCAAATAATTCTTAGCATATTTGATGGAATAGAACAAATTGAAGAAATTAGATAAACAAAAAAAAAAAATGAAATTCGAATATGAGACTTAAAAGTTACAGATAAGTATCTTATCTTTGTCGTTGAGAAATTAAGACCTCATCGACCAAATACCGATAATTTTATTTTAAATTGGAAAGTTTTTTTTTATTTTATTTTGTAGCTAATAAAATTAATGGTATAAATTAATAGCAATGATTTATGGGAAAGAAAGAGGATGAGAAAAATAGGGCTCCACGTCCCATTCTCATGACTACGGGTAGGTCACCCATATCTAACTTTTTGGCACGGTATTTTCGTGATTAGCTTCACGTTTCCAGTGCCATTCAGGATTGAGATATGCAAGATTCTCCACCATAAAAAATTAAAAATATATATATAAATATTAAATTTTAAAATTATTATTTTAAAAAATAATTACATTAATTAATTGATTTAATTTTTTAATTTAATTTACCAACTCAATATTTAGTATAAAAAAAAACAATTACTTACCAAATTCATTAATAATTCATATTTGCAATCACTGATTATATATATATATATATATATATATATTTCTACCATGTCAAAATCATATATGCTAAGAAAAGAGATAATATTGGGTTGTTGATAGTAATTCATGGAATTTAACTGCAAGTAATTTCTCATTTCAATAAACAAGTAAACGTGACGAATAGTGGTTATTACTCCATTGGATAGAACTTCGAAGAATGACAGTTCTAGCAGTCATTGGACAGGAAGGTAAGGTGGATTGACATTAGAAAATGTAAAAGCTAAAGTGTGGCACATGGCTTTAAAGCATGTATTCTTTTTTTGGTTTCGCTTTCCTTTTTTGACTCAGTATCAGCTTGTGGATGTGGTGAATTCTTGAATTAAGAGAACAAAACCCCCAAATTTTAAATATTAAAATGTCCCAAAATTTGACAAAATGACAAACATGATGAGCCTTGTGTGTTGTGTCAAGGATCATAGCATAACGCTTAAGTAAAGCAGTTCATTTTTAATTAAGAAGTGTGATTAGACATTAAGCCAAGTCCCAATTAGACCCTTTACTTTGATGCCGTTGAAGATCCACATGATTTGCAATTCCTATCACTTTTTTTATTTTAATTTTCATGTTACATTTTTTTAAAAATTATATATATATATATATACCATTTTTAATTTTTGTTGTGAATATTAATTTCTTAGTTTTGGTGTAATCTGGAAATTTAGGAAAAGAGAAAGTAATCAAATATGGTTAAAATATATAAAGTGCAGACTTTCATGAATTATTTTCGTGACAGGACACAAAAGCATGGCTCACACCGCTCAAGGCTCAAAACATGCGTCAGGCTTCAGTAATTTCTGGTCTTAAAGCGACTTGCCCCATATTTTCAGATGCATAGAATCCCAAACTTGCAGTTTGCACCATCACTTTGCTTTACATAAACTTACTTTCTAAAGAAGTAAAATAGAAAAGATAAAAAGAAAATAACTTGCAAGTATAAATCTTTTTGTATTGTGATTTTTTTTGGTTAAATATAAAAATAGTCTCTAAACTATGCATTTTATGTCAATATGGTAATTAAAGAAATAAAATTATCAGATTGATATATGAATTTTTATTTAATTATCATGTTGGTATATGAGATTATTGTAGTTAGTCAACTTTACTAATAAGACATGAATATCCAATAAAATGTTAACATGTGTAAAAAAGTTCAATCAGCATTATATCATCAATGCTGTCAGTATAAAAAAATTTAAATTATCGAATATGACTATATAAATTAATTAAATTAAATCTTAAATTCATTTGTGCAGTCAATTTGATGCAGTTGCAAATTAACGCAATAAAAAGTGATGAGAAGACAAAAATACTAGAACTAAAGTTGTCTTAGGTTTGAAATTGGACTTAAAGACCTGGTTAAGTGATTGGCCAAAAAAAAAAAACCCAACTTGAGTGGCATTATTTGCGGAGAGATTGTGTGTGAAAATACAAACAAAAGCATATGCTTTCATATTTGTTTTTCTTCATTGTTTTATTTAGGATGGAAAACTACATCATTTTGTACAATGCAAAACAGTCAAGTAATTCAAAGAAAGAAGCAAGCCTTGTTTATAAGACTAATTCTCTTGTCATTTTATTGGTCTAATAAAGCATACAAAGATAATTTTCATTTTTTCTTCCTTCTTTGGAACAGATCAATTCTAATTAAAATTTTGCCGCCTACCCATATTTGAAATAGTTGGTTATATTTCATGTTATATTGGGTGAAGGTTGATTAATTCTTTAAGGTTTGAATTTTCTTCATAAATGTAGTTAAATACCAATTTTTCATAACCTGCGTTAGTTAGATTAATAAATTGTGTATTTGTATCATATCTGCTTCAAGTAAAATACGAAAATTATAATATTAAATTCGTATTGATATAATGAACATTAAACATATTTTTTAGTTTTGCTAAATAATATATAATTTTTGTTAAAATTTTAAATCATATAATTTTTATATTTTCTTATATTAATTTTTTATTATATTATTATATCATAATTAAAGTTATTAACTCTATGGCAATATCTAAATTATTCCATTAATGTCACAAAGGATGGGTACTTCTATGGAAAGTACAGTCCTCATCAAAAGCTCCATGCTTTACTGCCATATAGAGCAAAGGCAGTGGAGGTAATTGCCAGACATTTCCCCCATCCCCATCTTAATTTTTTCTCTTCCTCTTCGAGGGTCAAATCATTCAATGAACTAGCCTTTGGGGGATAGAATTTGGGTCCCAATCAGACATTCCCAACCTACTATGAAAAATAAGGGTACATAAGATTTGACAGAATGATCATGCCTCTTGTATTAATGCAGTGTATTTGAAAAAAAAAAAAAAATTCCACTCAAAGGGTAATAAAAACAATCAATAGAGAGAAGTTTATCCTTCGATGCAGGGTTTTTGTTGTTTTATTAATGGCCATTGAAGCTATTAAATTGGGCAGCTAATTTCAGATATGAGAATGTTAGAACAGAGTTAAGATGGAAAAAATATTTTGCTTTTGTTCGTCTCATTCTAGTGAATACTTTAGTTCTTACTTGGAAAATAACATTTATGAATAATATAATTTGTTCTTTTAAGAATAATTGAGATTTGATTTCAAAGTCCAAGCACTAAAAATTAGTTGAAAATTAACAAGAAAAAAAAATGCTTCATCTTTCCAATCATAACAAAAAGGAGTGAAAACCGAAAAAGAATTAGGTGGCTCATTAAAATGGTGGTAACAGTAATTTCAATGGCAATTTGATTAATGGTAGTAGGAAACTGGAATATGCTCTTTCAGCAACCAGGTCACAAACTCATTGCCAATTTGCCACCATGAAAATACATTTGAGTAGAAAAAAAGGGAACTTATGAAGGAAATCTACCTCTCCAGGTTGTGCTTTGTCTGCTGCAATTTTTTTATTCATGGTAGTAGGAAACTGGAATATGCTCTTTCAGTCAACCAGGTCAGTCACATTGCCACCAAGAAAATACATTAGGTAGAAAAAAATTTGGAAATTGGAAGGGAAAACTACTTCTCTCCAGCTCAGCTTGTGGTTTGTAGGCTGCTATTTTTCTAACAATCTGATGATGATGATTGTTGCTCTCAGAGGGAGGCTTGCCTTTGGAGTTTGGACCCTTCTTCAATCATCCCTCGATGTACTTTTTTAACTCTCGGGTACAGGCAATTGATGACAATTGGAGCTGCTGGGAACTGTCCAATCAGAAAATGCCACCGATCATAAAAGTGAAAAGATGTTCATTTTCTTGGGAGTGTTATTCCAGTAACTCAATTATCCGTTATTATCGATGAGTTGAATCTTAATTATTTTTTATAAAAAAATATTGAATGATTATTTATTTACATGATTTATAATTATTTATTTTAAATTATTAAATACGACACATTTTAATTTGATTTAAAAAATTAAATAATTTATTTATCTTAAATTTTTTTTTAAAATTTATACATTATTTTATAATGATAAAAATGTCCTCTGACCACCAAAAAAAAAAAATCTTATAGTAATCTTTAAAAATGCCAGCTGAACTCATAAAAGTCCACTCACTCCCCTTGTTGGAACAGTTAATGTTCTGAGTTTTTATGGTCACCAAAAGAAAACAGTCCAAAAGAAAATTAATAGGAGAAGTAATTAATGTCCAAATAGGACCAATTCTGATGACTATAAAATGACCATCTTTCTCTCTCTATCTATTGCCCTGCTCTCTCCCACAGAGACTCTCTGCCTCTCTCTCTTGCGTTGCCTCATTCTGTTTCTGTTTCATTTTGATTGAAAAAAAATGGAAGCTGCACTGGCTGGCACTGCTTGTGAGAGAGTTAAAGAGGAGGGCTTCTTCTGAAGTTATATAAAGAACCATTTTCGACCACATTGTTAAGAAAAAACCACTATTCTTACTGTTCTCGTTTTCTTTTATTTCCTATCCGCTGTTTTCCTGTGCTCTGTTGAGTGGAAGAGAGGCAGAGATGGCTCAAATATCACCAAAGCTGCTGGTTCCAGATTCATTTCAAGTGTCAAGAGATGATATTACGGGTCAACTTGGTTTGATTTGGGAGCTAATCAAAGCACCATTAATAGTTCCTCTACTGAAACTTGGTGTCTACATTTGCTTAATCATGTCGCTTATGCTCTTCATGGAGCGGCTTTACATGGGAGTAGTCATCATTCTTGTTAAACTCTTCTGGAAAAAACCGGAGAAGCGTTACAACTTTGAGCCTATTCAAGATGATGTGGAACTTGGTAGCTCAAATTTCCCTGTAGTTCTAGTGCAAATCCCAATGTTCAATGAAAAAGAGGTCGTATCTTCTCCTCTGTATTCTTCTCCGTGAACTTGCTTCTTTTTTGTATTTTATTTCTGGGTTTCAGAGAAAACCTCAAACTCAAAATTCTGGTCTTTTTCATGTTGGTCCTTGGAACAGGTTTACAAGATCTCAATTGGAGCAGCTTGTGGACTCTCATGGCCGTCTGATCGTCTCGTGATCCAAGTACTTGATGATTCAACTGACCCTGCAATCAAGGTAAAATCTTACAAAACTCAAAACCAATCACTTTAAACACTCCCTAATATGTGTATAACGAAATGAATGCATTTGCTCACTGATTTCGTTAATTTCCTCTTCAGTTCTTCAGCCTTTTCACCAGCTCTTTCTTATATGCTGTCAAATAACATAAAAACTCATTTACACCTAACATCTATCACCCCCATTTTCTTTCATCATTGAATTCTTCAAGTTTCAACTTTCCATTTTCATTATCCGCAACGATTTAAAAATTGGAAAATATGGGGTTTGATGCAGCTATTGGTAGAGCAAGAGTGCCAGAGGTGGGCAAGCAAAGGCATAAACATAACGTACCAAATCAGGGAAAACAGAATAGGTTACAAAGCTGGAGCTTTGAAAGAAGGGTTGAAGCGAAGCTATGTTAAACATTGTGAATATGTGGCCATTTTCGATGCTGATTTCAGGCCTGAGCCTGACTTCCTGAGACGAAGCATCCCTTTCTTGGTCCACAACCCTGACATTGCTCTTGTTCAAGCTCGATGGAGATTTGGTAAGCTGAATCTAAACCTAAACCCCCACTCACCATTCCCTTCCATTAAACCTCAATTAATTAAAAAAAACATTACATTAATTTTTCAATTAATAATTTCCCTCATTTAATGACTTTGCTTGAATTTCAAGTGTCGGTGGTCTGCACTTAATACTTTTTTTTTTTTTTTACTTTAAAACATTTTTATTTTTGTGAATTTTTTCCCTTTTACCCGTTAATGGGGTTTTGGTTTTTGTCGGCGGAATTGGTTGCAGACTGCATGGGCCTAAGCATGGGTCCACACGAAGAACCCACCAATCACGGTGTGTGGATCCCATTGCCTTAGCCACCTTGATCAGCCGTAAATCACATTGTCATGGGACCCATCTTTTTTAGAATATGGTATAATAGTTAACACCCAATCAGCTATACCAGAAAGCAATATCAAACATACACAATTTTGATTAGTTGAGTCAATTATACGTTCACACAATTAAAAACTTTCAATGTGATAATTTCTCATTTTAGAATACCAAAATCTTATTCTTAGTCTTCTTCTAGAACTATTATTCGTACGTTACACGCTAAAGTTTTAAGTAAAAATTTTGAAAAATAATAATACCATTGAAAATCAAAATTGTAAATATATGTTTACATGTCAATATGAAAATGAAAATGATATTTATTGCTTGAATTAATCAATTCATAAAAAATTTGTTGATAAGCTTTTTTTCTTTTGTTGTTTTATATTAGGAAAATTGTAAAATTTTTTGTTTGTCTTAGCTAAGCAAATAAAATTTGAGCTAAAGGATTAGGTTTGGTTCATAGCTGATTAATAAGCTTAGTTCTTTGGTTATTAGTGTTTTGCTTATGATTTCTGGGGTGGTTTTGTCATTTTAAATAAAAAATGGTGGGATTTGCTCATTTGATCAACGACCAAGGATGTATGGATCACGTGGTCAAAGCGGAGATCTTCTAGAACAGGGAGGTTAGAATTGTCATTTCATTATGGCAGCCACTTACTTTCCACGTGCCGTTTGACTTTTTAACTAAAAAACTGGGACCCAAGGTAAAGTTAAGATGTGGGCAGTACTATTTCTCAAGTGGTGGGCCTTATTTCACTTTGCCGACACTTGGATTTTTCTAAGAACTGTTTTCATTTTTTTTTTAAATAATAATTGTTCTAAAATTTTTGTTTGGATTCATGAATTAACATTACAGCATTATAACACAAAAAAGTCTAAATGCCTTTCATTTTGTTTGTTTCCTCAACCTCACTCTAATTCCAACAAGGAAATAACTGCCAAACATGTCCTTCACTAATGTCTTTATCTCACAAAATTAAAACAAAAGCATATGCAAAAAGATTGAGAATACTGTCCATGACCTGATCATGTTGAGCCTGCCAGGACCTCGGTTGTGCGCGTGCAGGCAGTAACAATAGTCTTAGCATTTAACAATTATTTAATTTCTAATTGTATGTGCATGGTACCGTTACTATGAATACGTTGAAATTGAACAATCTTAGTAAAGTGATGATCATTTTTGCAGTGAATGCGGATGAATGCTTGTTAACAAGAATGCAAGAGATGTCATTGGATTACCATTTCACAGTGGAGCAAGAAGTTGGATCAGCAACGCATGCTTTCTTTGGTTTTAATGGTAAAACTCTATTTTTCATAATTTTTTTTTACCATGGTTTGGTTTTGAGACTTTTTCTTTTAGTTAGGCTAACAAAATTTCTCCTCTTTATTGTATTTATTTTCCTATCAATTTGGCTGACATCTGCTATGAGCCTAAGACTCCCTCAAAGTTCCTAGTTTTACCAAGGAATGATGACTCTGTTATTATAAAAAAGGTGTAGTTGGTGTTTGAGAGTGACAGGAAACTAGGAACAAGTTTTTGGCAATGACTTGACAAGTTCAGCTTGATTGTCAGCTAGGGTGTGTTGAATGCCATACGATTTTCATAATAAATAATGTACATAGTTTGAGTCTTTCAAAGGTACTTCAGGAAATTTTGTAAAAATTCTTTTCAGTTGGGGTGTTTGTTAAAAGTCTGCTTTCCAAGACAGATTTAGTGTCTGATTTGATTCAGCCAATGCTACATGAGGGTAAAAACATACACACAATTTGAAAGTTTGAATATTTCAATAATCAAAACAACTATGCCATTTTTAATTCTTGTCGAACAAAATGATCAAATTACTCATGATGATGGTAATTAATCACTTGAACATCAAGAATGTTCATTAGATGTCCCATGTAAAGGCTGTTGTCAATTACCAGATATAACTGAAATGCATGCATGAACCAAATGTAGGAACTGCTGGTATTTGGAGAATTGCTGCCATTAATGAGGCAGGTGGGTGGAAGGATAGAACCACCGTGGAGGACATGGACCTTGCTGTCCGATCTAGTCTCAGGGGATGGAAATTTGTTTACCTCGGTGACCTTCAGGTATTTCTTTTGTGTAATTAATGTGCAATGCGTAGTCGCCTTTAAGTTTGCAGGTGACTTATGCTTCCCCATGTCTTAATTACTTAGGTCAAAAGTGAACTTCCTAGTACTTTTAAGGCTTTCCGCTTCCAGCAGCATAGATGGTCTTGTGGTCCTGCTAATCTGTTCAGGAAAATGGTGTGGGAGATCATTCAAAATAAGGTTAGGGTTTAGTTTTATGGATTTCCCTTGTCCTTTCCAATCTTACACTGTAAATTGATTTATTTCAATAACTATTGCAGAAAGTGAAATTCTGGAAGAAAGTATATGTTATCTACAGCTTCTTCTTTGTCAGAAAGATCATTGCTCATATGGTCACCTTTTTCTTTTACTGTGTTGTTCTTCCGCTTACAATTTTGGTTCCTGAGGTTAAAGTTCCTATCTGGGGAGCCGTTTATATTCCTTCAATTATCACCATTCTAAACTCAGTAGGAACTCCAAGGTATAGCATACATAACATTGATTCTCTTTACATATTCTTTAACATGAAATGCGACTAATTTTCTGTGGATTTGCAGATCCATTCACCTGTTATTTTACTGGATTCTTTTCGAGAATGTGATGTCATTGCACCGGACTAAGGCAACTTTTATAGGTCTCCTGGAGGCAGGAAGAGCCAATGAGTGGGTTGTTACTGAGAAACTAGGAGATGCTGTCAAAAAAGCTGCAGATGCTGCTAAGAACAAGTCAAATGTCAAAGCAGCCAGAAAATTTAGATTCAAATTTACTGATAGGTAAGAAATCATCATCACTCTTAACCCAATTGGCATACAGATTTCAACATTCTTCCTGAGGTCATCTTGTTACAAAACATACCAAGTCTTCTCCGAATTAAAAATTTGTATAAAACAAGATTATAATATGTGAATTGTTATAAAACTATTAGGTGTTAAAATATTTGTGCAATGTTACATTACCAGGAAATATGCTTTGCTATTGAACTATTTTCGAGTGTACTAGTGCTTCTGAATTTTTCTGTATATAATTTTTGTACTTGTTCTGTGAACAGACTAAACACATTGGAGTTGGGATTCGCGGCATTCCTTTTCCTTTGTGGATGCTATGATTTTGTCCATGGGAAGAACAACTACTTCATATACCTCTTCCTCCAAACAATTACCTTCTTCATCACAGGAATTGGCTATGTTGGCACCATCATTTAGTAGTACAGCTACATTGACACAATCGTCTGAGCGTTTGTGTTGGTGTTTCAGTGTTTTTCTCCCACACAAGCAGTAATTATAAGTGAAGGTCTATCTACGACCATTTGACTGCAACCATTACTTATTTTTAGCTCATTTAAACAGAAACAGGTCATTCAACATATTCAGCACAAAAAATCTGCCGCCATCTCTCCCTCAAAATCACTCCAGCTAATGGAGAATTCATCAGAAAGAACCTGTAAAAAAGACAACAGGGAGATGATGTTATTTCTTTTGACAGTTTGCTTGTAATTGTGGGGTTTATTTATTCTCTTATTTCTCCTTTTGGTTTTTATTTTTATTTTTTATTTTTGGGTTTCCTATTTTTTCTTTTACTCAAGCTTTTTGAAGGGAATAAAGTGATGGATAGAAGGGTGAACTTGTAATAACAGTTAAATTTATCAAATCCCAGTATTTATATGTTTCTGTTATATCCTTGGTTTTGTATCAGAACCCTTCAAAGAGGATTTGCTAGCCTGTCAATAATTTCTTTCTGGCCCCCTTTTCTGTTTTACTGGATACCTTTCCAATACTTTTAACTGTTGCAATAATTGTTGCATTGTTAAGATATTAAAAACTACTATTATAAACTTTCTCATCTGCCAAGCAAGCCTTGATTTCACTCATTAACCTTTTACCTCCGACCTAATTAAAAACTATTATGACAACCATTTCTGCATTGGATTTCTCCTCCTGCATAGATTCCCATTGATTAATGCAAATGTTAAACTATTCCAAATCCTGAAAACATTGCATTCATTTATATAATTAGATCCATTAATTTATATATTTATATTATGTTTATTTTACATGAAATATGTGTAAAACATGAAAATTATTTTGTTATAATTTATATTAATATGTCAAATATGAAAATATTTTTTTTATTTTTATCAAATTTATATACGATTTTAATTAAAATTTTAAATTATATTATTTTATATTTTTTTTCATACCGTATAACTGTATCATATTTAAAATTTACATATCTATGTGCAAGTAAAGCTACAAAATAAATTGCACAAGTAAACTTCTTGCTAAAGTAACATGGTGACATACTTACAAAAATATATTTTACTTCTTTTAAAAACGGCTTCTCTTGATTAAACTTTGAGTTTAGGCATTGGCCTGAGTTTTCTCCTCTTGGAATAATCTTTCCAGTAAGATTATTCCCTCATAAGCTCCCATTTAGAAATTATAACCCGGTATCAGACTGAATAGCAGATGAAGTTTTTGTGTGTGCTGGGACATAAATATTTACCCATAATCATTTCTAATCTTTATTTTTCAGACGCATTATTACAAGGTAGTTACCAGTTAACAAGAAACAGCTTCACGCTTACCTTTCATGTCTTGTCCCAATCACTTTATTACCGTTTTTCACTTTAGGAATCCAATTCTTTTCATTATTAAAAAAAAAAAAATCAATATTTTCAAGAATTAAACTTAAATGATGCTCAATGTATGTTTCTTCTAGTAGAAGCCTCGTTATCTCAGCTAACTTTTGTCACTTTTACTTCAACCAATGGCAAAGATAAAGAGGGGAGACATATAAACCTACTTAAATAAGATATCTGCAACTAAACCGAAATTTGGTTTATATAATCACTTTTAAAGGCATTTAACCAGTGTGAAATTCAAATTCTAACACTTATACCCGTTTTTCTTATCTCAGATTACGATCTCTTTATATAAAAAATAATAATATATCTGCAACTGCTATGTATAATAGAAAGAGTGGGTTAAAGTTTGAGTGAATTGGGAGGCCTGCAAAAACTGTTTTTATTATAACGTCCAGGAACTGCTACAATTTGGCCAATTGGCCTTAAGAAATATAATTGAATATCATATATTATGGAAACTTTAAAACCAAGTTTTCAGACAATTTGTTTTAAAGAAAAGAAATTCAGAAACAAGGTGCTTCTGGCATTAACCACCTTGTATAATCAGACTTTTTTTATGATTTTTTGATGTCATAGAACCTTTTTGGGCACATGCCCTTCAAAATAGGACACTTACAACTAGAAGCAAAGAGTTTTTGTGCGGCAAACAAATTAATCCAACTTGGATGAAGGTACATTTTTCACCTTTGAGAGGTTGGGTTATTCATTTCAACAACAATAAATCAACGTCGAGAACAGTTTATACATCTAATGTTGGAGAAATACTTATAAATTACAGATTTAATCCTCTTGGCTGTGTTCATGACCAAGCTGTGTCGGCTAAGAAGTTTCATAGCTCTGAAACAAACAAAGAATAAGGTAAAGTCTTTTTCCTGGACCAAGCTGTGTTCATGACCAATTGCTTCAAGCCTTTAATTGAAAGCATATTAACACCTTCTTTTTTTTTTTTCTTTTTCTTTGTACAATACAAAGCTTTTGTGAACAAATCTTGATATTTAAATTGGTAATATTCTAAACCCGAGTTTGATTTAGTTAGTTCATAAAATCACTCCTAGATGTGCATCAAATTAAGTTTGAGATTGAAATCTCAATAATTCCTTTCCTATCCCTTTTTTGTTAAAAAATTGGTACGATTCGTGAGGAAACATACTTACCAACTAAGATGAACTCTAACGTTGCAAACAATGTTCTTGATATAATAAGCCTAAACCATTGCCATCTATACTCTGAGAATATAACGTTGTTATTGCAAAGCACAAGGTTTTTCCTAACAGAATTTACAGGTTTATCTATATAATAGTAATAAGATATAATCAATGAAACAAGGGCAAGGTGGCATTATAAATGGAACAACCAAACTGTGTCAGACTGCATTAATTTATCTTTCTTAATTATAATGGGGAAATTCTAAACTTTCATTGAGACAAACTGCGGCTGCCCTCCTTTCAGGCACTTATTTAAGCAGTTTCTCTCAAGGACCCCATAGCTAACAGAGAAAGCAAAGCGATAAACTGCTACTGCAATGAATGAAGAAAAGGACTGAAAATGAAATGGAACAAGTAAATTTTCAGCTACAAAACTGACAATTAGTTAAAATTTCCGTGCAAAGGTTCCCACTTTCCACCGTTTTGTTTTTTACAATGGATGGAGATGGACTTCTCAAGCAAATATCAACCAATGTAAATGTTATAGATTTTTTTCTTTTTTACTTAGCTGTGCTTGTGCACTATACAAAAATCTTTGATTGAACAATCCCGACAGACACTATCCTTTAGCATCCTTCATTTTCCAGGGCGTTCCCCGCATTTTCCAAAGCTAACACAGCAAAAGTTCTGTATATACTAATGTCTATACGCAAGCATTGCAATGTTCATTTTCTCACAAGATGTGGGGTTCTTTCAATAATCATTATTGTAAGAGAAGGAGGGGCGCTATAGAAAAAGGTCATTTCTTCCGAAATTAACAGTGAATTGAGCTGCCGGCTGACGTTTGGATCACTTGTCATTATATTGGAGCTTAGATTTAGTGATTATGGATTGGAAGGATCTTATGCACATAATATCTTCAACTCAACCAAATAAATATAAAGGTAATAGGGTTTAAGGGTAAATAAAAAAAAAAGATTGAATCTGGGGTAAGTTCAAGTAATTTTAATTCTAAATCTGATACGTATACACAGAAACACAATAATTGTAAGGGATACATTAAATGGTTTGTTGGCAAGTCTTCTCAACTTCCTGTCATGTTCTGCAGTTTGATGGACCAATTTTAACGGACACAGTGGGATCCTATCCCTTTAGTAGCCCACAATTTGAAAAGATCTTAGGCCCATTTTCAGAAACATGGGACCACCTCTTCATTGTAATATTCCGCAGCATCTACTATCTACTATGCTCACTGAACAATGCTAGAACATTCCCAATAATCCATTTCAAGCTTGTTAGAATCGGTGGATTACTCAACATTCATTGCAAGAGGAATCCTAAAGTTGAAATTTTAAATGTAAAAGAAAAGACAGAAAATTAATATAGACATAAGTAAACCAAACAATTATTTCCAATACTTAAGATTTGGACTTGGTGATTATTTCTTTTTCTAGGAAGAAGACAATTTTGATTTTAATGGTATCATTAGAAAGTTTAAAAATAAAATATTTGAAAAAGAAGTATTGATCAAATCGATTCCACAAACTTATAGAGAAATAGTAGGTCTGAAATTAGTGGGGGTGCCTACAGCTTTTATCACTAAAACATGTTTACTTCCCACTAAGATTTAATCTAATGATTTCTTCAATAAGATTGAAGACAATGTTAGCCGAATAGCAGTACGTCTGGTATGGGTTCCTCTCCAAAAGAACTTTAGATACATCCCTTTAATCTGTAAGCATCATATGACAAGCAAAATCACTAATTTTTATAACAAAATTACCAATTTTATAAAAAAAATTTGAGAAAAAAAAATTAACAACGCTAATAGTAATATTTTTTGCAAGTAGAATTTCATTCATATATTTTTATAGCTATGACTGTACTGTACATTTTAGACCTATAATACCAAAGCTTCCTATTCAATTTTATTTCAAAAGAATATGCTTAGATAACAAAATATTTGTTGATTTAACTAAACTTATTAACTAATAATTTAACATATTGCATGATATATAATCATCATGTTTTCACTTTTCATTTATTTAATTGTAGATATTAAGCAGTTACCACATACTTCAAAACTTTTTACAGGTTCTTTGCAAGAGAAATCCATCTTGTAATGCTTCTCTATCAAAACTGCAACCACAATTAATATGTAAGATTTGTATCATATGAAAAATTAATACTGTCAGATAAAAAGAGTACAGAATAACATAAAAAGTAATAATGAACCAGATGAGAATTAAAAAACCCATGAATGTGAATATCCAAATGGTAAGAAACATGAACAACATGAGAAGAAATAATGAACCAGATGAGAATTAAAAAAAAAACATGAATGTGAAAATCAAAATGGCAAGAAACATGATGAAAAGATCAAAAGAAATGTTATTAAAAAAGAGAAAAAAACTAAGAAAATAATCTTTCGGATATAAGAGTGTCGGTTTAAAAATGAAGAAAAAAGAAACTAATAGCAAATTTATATCTATTACACGATTTAGAACAACGATTTGATATAGACATGGATGAAAGAATTTCGTACTGCTTTTGTTTCATATATATCATTGCACTATATGAATAAATATAAATTTGAAAAACCTTGAGTAGCATATCATTGTGCTAGACATGGTTTTCTCAAATATCCCAGTTAATATGTTTCCTTCTTTATAAAAAAATATTATCTCCAACACAATATAAAGTAAGTCCGTTTCCTTCTTTATAAAAGAAAAGCGCAATTGCGAACATGATATATTAATTTCTACTTAATAGATTCATGCAAACTGCATGAAAATAAAGATCACATGATATACCTACTTCTAGCTAGTTAACTTATATTCAATGCAAACTCTATGCCAAAAGGTTGTAGTTCAATATGATATTTTTGCACAATAGTGTAATTGAGTGTATTCAATATGTATTGACTCTAAATCGTTTTCTCACATTATATGCATAAATAAACAAAAAATTTTACTAACAAGCATATAATAAAGGTGTTTATTTGTCAAACCATGCTTATTTGGTATCTATAAACAACAGTCCAAACTTAATTTGTCAAATTAGACCCATATAGTTTTAGATATTGAAGAATCTATAAATATTTTACTTAAAATATATTTTAATATTAAAATTAGATAAAGATAACTTTTATTAAAAAAAAATTAGCCCGATCAAATTTGAACTTGAAAATTTTTGTAATATCCCACTCGAGTCAAATCAAATCCTTAATTTTGATAGGTTACTTGATTTATGAAAAAATCCTTTTTTTTTTTCAAAATAGTATTTTACAACCATCAAGAGAAATTTTTAACACAATATCAGCTTCATATAAAGGCAAGAATTTTTTTGTATTGAACTGGTGAATTTAAATGTTGCCACAGAGAATCAGTTGGAGATGTTTTCTTTGACTTTGAGCAGGGCATTTGAGTCCTTACACTTCATATGTTAAATTTTGTTGAAGCTTTTAAGTTTGCTTAAATAACTAATGGATTAAAAATATGGCATCTTGGTATCATTATTTAGTTAAAAAATGTAAATGTGGAATATATATATATATATGGACAATTTTTTTAACAAATACATGAACATCCTTTCATGACATGAAATTTAAAGTATAAATCTCTGTTTAAACATGGCATTTAAGATATAACTAAAGGATTTTATTGAAAAAAATTCTCAAATCAACCAAAAGCAATAAAGTTCTTAAAGCTATATGATAATACCAAAACAAACTATTTCTGTACACAGCAATATTTCTACCATGGAATCTCATCCCACCTTGTAGTATTACAACACAGAAACAACATGAAAACTAGCTGAAGCCCTGTAAAATCTTCACCAAGTTCTACTTTTGTTTGGTATTTTTGTTAAAGAATCTATAACTATGTATGTTACTGTAATTTAAAATTCAATTGTCATCTGTTAGTAAATTGTCTTGGCTATTAATTTCCTTTTTCTTGTACATATTATGATCACCTTCAAAGTTTATAGACAACTGATCTACTTAGCTGCAAATAACTGATCAAATGCTTTCCTGCCTCCCTGCAGACAAATGAAGCATCCCATCAATCAATCATATGTATGAAAAGAAAACATCAAATCCAAATTGGTTGGTGGTTCAATAATTCAGTTGTGTTAATATAGGTTTTATTCAATTTCTTTGATTCATCATCATTCTTTTCCGTAGGATGTAGATTTTATATGATGTACGTAATTTTCTATGAACTTTTTCTGGTATGATAGTGCAACCATGAACCGACCAAGGATAAAAAATTGACGCTGCTAAATGGTCAAATAAATTCTTCTTTCTAACAATCTTATCCATTGGCTATTCTGATGCAAGGTTACCATAATTCAAAGGCATGGTCCATGAAGTTGAAAACCACCGGCCTACTTTAATTTTAATAAAAAATCAGAAAACAAGGAAATGATAGCATCCATAATTGGTTCATGTGTTAGGTTATTGATTGCAAAAGAGTTGAAAAATGGCATGGATATTTAGACACTGACTTATGCAACAAAAGCTGATGTCATGAATTCTCTTTTGGGGAAAGAAAGGAAAGAGAAGTAGACAAAGCGTAAACCACTTCAAAATTTAACAAACCAAACATAGTCTTAGATGTTTAATGTTAATTTTCAGGGTTTTAATGAGGATTTATTTGAGAAATTGAGAGTCCGAACGTATGTGACAATTTGGCTAACCATATGGTAAGTGTTTTCTGCGGCAGTGTGTTTTTGGCAGTATCTTTTTTTTTTTTTTCTTTGATAATTTGGTATATTAATTAGTCTTCAATTTTGTGGACAGGTGGGCAATGTGTATTTTCAGTTTAGAGAGGAAGAACATGCCGCAAATGCACTCAAGAATCTCAGCGGAAGATTTTATGCTGGTTTGACTTCTATCTCTTTGTATTAGCTTTTTTAATTTGTATGTATTGTTCATTCAAAGATCCGAATTGCAACAAATTCTTGTGTGGCTAAGTTAGGGCTGATAATTTGTGTTAGTGCCTTATCATCGTGTCATGATGAGATAAGGGTATAACAAATAAATGGGTCTGACATGATCCTGACACAATTAGTTGATCATATCACACGGTTAATTTATTTAAACTTGATTATATGTGACATGGTTAGTCTATTTAGACGTGATTAAACTATTTAAGATAAATAATAAGTTATTTTATGCATTTAAAATATTAATTTAGTAAATGAACTTAAAGTCATATTTGGTATTCAAGATTATTATAAGATAGAATAAAATGATATTATAAATTGAATTATATTAAATAATATCATTTTATTTTATGTTTGATATATGCTATGATTAAAATAAGAAAATTTGTTTATTGTTTAAAATTATATTTCCTCAAAGTTTATACAATTTAAATTATTGATATAATTTTTAAGGGTATAATAAGATATATAAGTTAAATTCTATAGATTAAAAATAATTTTTTTCACTTTGAAATAATTAAATCATTTTATATTAAAAAGATGATAATTCTCCTTATAATTTTATTTTTTTTAATTAGATACAAACTAAACATAATATAAAATAATTATTATTTTATTTTATCTATTATCTTATGTACCAAACATGACCTAAAAATATTCTTTGTATACCTGTGTGCATAAATTTACAGTCAAGTACCATGCAACCATCGAACATCCAGGCTACCGAACGACCAAAGTTCATTGTTCTGAATTGGGTTTTGTTTCTTACAATCTATCTATATTTCAAACCCTTAAATTTACATTGAGAGGAAAAATAAGTTACCTCATCAACGTCATTGAGTTTTGCAGGTTCAGGTATTCCTGCTTCTTGGGACCGAGCCAATTTTTTAATTGCAACTTGGTATGGAATTTGTTTACAGGCTGTGGATTCAGTACCAGAGAAACTAGTTTAAAGTGGAAAGTATTTCTCATATAAAACTTAGAGAAGAAACAAGAAGGCAGCTTCTGGCTCATCTCAGCTCTACTACTGCAAGTTATAGGTGATGGTGATTGGATTGTGTCTTAATGAGAAGCGAGGAGTGGTAATAGCGAGGGTCTGCTTTGCTTGACTTTGTTAACTTGACAGGTTTTGTTTATTGTACCGTCAGACACATGTTTTATGTGAAGACTTTGAAGGATCTCTTTGTCTTTGATTAAGCGAGATAATGGGGATTCTATTTCAAGTTATTGTGGTGTAGATTAGTTTATAGGTTTTATTATACAGCATCCTGGCTTCAAATTTTGATATCTCATTACTAAGTTGAAGATTTTACAATCTCATTTTCCAATTAGAAAAAGCTTGCTTTCTTTGGAGTAAGAGGTTAATTGAAGCGACGGCCAAGTATGAAAGTTATGAATCCATCCACCCTCTAATTAGTAAAGTCTGGAATAGTAAAAATTATAGCTTTTGTAATTTACGTGGTAAAAATATCGAATAATTACTTACTTAATCTAATAATACGTTGCTTACAGCCTCTTTAAAATTTAAGGCAGTGATTAACATTTTCTTCTAATTATTATTAGCTTTAAACAAAAATTAAAAAATGCTGGCTGTGAGGTTCGAACTCACGCGCACTTATGTGCAGCAGATCTTAAGTCTGCCCCCTTAACCACTCGGGCAAACCAGCTGATTGTTACAATATCGGAATATTAATTTTTTTAAAGTTTCTCTATGTTAAAAACCCCAACCCCTAATGAAGCCGTCAATCATGATCCAATGACCATAATCCCCATCATATAAACTTCAAAAAAAACACAGCTTTCCGGTTTTTTTTTTTTTTTCCTGTAATAACAAAAGAAAACAGATCCAAAAAGTAACAACGGAGGAAAAAAAAAAAAAATGGCAGAGCACGTCGATTTTGGAACGGCAAAGGACAGGATAAACTGCCGCTTTTGTCGGAGTATAGATTCAATACATCGTCATCACGATTCACGAAGTTTAAAATTTCAGAATCTGTAAAAACATATATATATATATATATATATATATACACATGTATATATATAAAAACTTAAATGCTTGGTTGGGTGAAAATAATTTTATTAATTTTCATATGCATTACTATCATGCCAGAGCATTAATAAAAATTATTAATAAAATACTCAATAGTAAAATCGAACTGAAATGGAGTCGTATGTATACAACTTTGGATTGAAGGCAAACTTGGCATTTATTCATTTATTTTTGTTATTCCTGTCATGCCAAGCTTAACGCTATACAATGCTTTCAAGAGTCAAGTTTGGCTCATTGAAGGTTAAGCCTACATCACACATTCCCATTGAGGGGTTTTAAAGTTGATATAGGCTGGAATTTTGATACCTTAAGTTAACAACTTGAGGGGATTTTGAAGTTGGATAGGTTAAAGGTCCTCCTATAAGAGAGCACCCAAGAAGGAAATGAATAAATCTTTCATCCACATGCGAAAGTTCATTTATATAGCTACCAAAACATTAACCTTTAATCATGAACATGTTAATGCAAACAGATAATAATAGAACATAGACAATATTACAATCTAAAGATAAAATCGAAAATGATAGTTTGGAATCAGAAGTAGGGATCCTGCAATGTCTTTTTTTAACCATAAACCCCTCGTTTACTACCAAAACCATCTCTTCTCCCAAAATTAAACAAGCACATAAGAGCATGTAACACCACCTCATTTGCCACCATGCTTGGCCTTCTTGTGAGATTCTAGACCACCATCAGAGCCGAAGGACCTGTTCGTAGTAATATGCCAGGGAGTTAGTAAAGCAACCAACTCAATCAAAATACGAAATATGGTTTTACAAGTTGTAAATAACTACTTGTTACAAGATCCGCAAGAGAATTGACCATCAGACTTTGGACTCTTTGCAGAAGTTTTGCCTGCCTGCTTTGATGGGTGTGGTGTTGCTGTGTGACCACCCTTCTTACCATCTGCAATTGCAAGGAACTATAATCAGAAGATGATTAAGAAATGAAATGGCCCAATCCTGATTAACCATTATCAAAAAGATGTAGGTAACAGATAAAGAAGTGTAAATGATATATTTGATATTGCAGACTTTCAAGTGAACTACGAGAGACCTGTCTTCTGAGGTGTCGCAGCAGATTTTGCCTTTTTTGCAGAAACAAGGGTTGCGGCAGCTTCTGCAGGTCTCTTCTTGCTTGACTCAACCTTGAAAGCAAAAGACACAAAATAACATTTCGGCAATCAGATCAGATTCAACAGTTCAAAAACCACCCACAATCTACCAAACATACCTTCTTAGGTGTCTCTTCATCCTCATCATCTGAGCTTTCATCCATAGACATCTGTACAAAACAGAAATTTAAATTTCTCTGATCCAATCTATCAAATATTACCTCAGTTGGACAGGAAAATAAAGTAATAAAAATGAACCAACTGAAATACATAAAAAATGATCAAACTAAACCACTGTCAATGCATTTGATTTCAATCATGTCTTGTAGGAACAGAAAACATTTTCATATCTTCACTGTTTAGCGGGGAAAAAAGATTAAAGAGCAATCTAGTATGCTAAGACCAAAGGGCATAAGAGACCAAGGAAACCAGATATCAGAATAAGAGACCATTCAGAATAAAAAAATAACAAAAGCATTCATTTCAAGAATAAATGAATTAAAATTTTTTGCCTAGTTATGAAAAAGAAACCTCGTCAGAATCATCTTCATCCTCAGAATCATCTTCCTCATCAGAACCACTTTCATCCTCAGAATCACTATCATCATCACCCTCCTCAGTTTTCTTGTCATTGCTTGGTTCTGCTATCTTGACAGCATTTTTTACAGCATCAGGCTTCCCAGTATTAGCCTTGGCTGTTTTTGGATCTGTCTTGGGTTTTCCTGGGGTGGAAGAAAATGTTTGCCCAATGAAAATAAGAATTAATAAAATCTTCAACCACTGATGTAAATTCCAGTACATGAAGAGAACTTGCCATTTTCTGCAGCAGCCATAGGAAGCTCCTCCTCCTCACTAGACATATCTGTATATAAGAATAATATGCATAAGAAATACTTGAACAAATCAAGAAAATTGCAAACATGCAAAATGAATTCTAGGACTCACCAAATTCATCATCAGTAGTGACAGAAGACAGCATAAGAGTCAAGGAAGCAAAAGATAACACAATCACACTTCACGTTTATTAAAAACAAAAGTTGGTATTTATCACAAAAAAGCAAATTAATGCCTATTAATAAAAGGATATCCTTCCTCTGGCACAAAAGTTTTGTAACCAAGGAAATAGACGCTCCCATTTTTCCAGTTGTGTGAGAGCTCAAAGTCTTGGTCAAATACTAGATCGAACGATAACTGAGGAAAATTCTGGTGGGAAAGTGTTCCAAGAACGAGTTTCTTCCCATTAGCATTCACATATAGGGGAACAGATTCTGCTTTGTTCTTTGTCTCGCCAAGTGAAGCCTAAAACACAAGCAGCATTGCAGATTATTTCAGACCAGAAAGAACAAAAAAAAAAAAAACAATAGATAACATTATCAACTTCAACAAGTAAATCACTTCTAACCTGAGAAAGATGGATGACATAATTGGCACCAGGGTCTGTCTTAATAGGCTGTCCAGCCTTAACTTCAATACCTAAAAGTAACATAAAAGACAATTACTTTTGATTATCTAAACCAAAAAACAACAATACGGCAAATGTCTTAAATGTAAACCCGAAGAATATAATCCAAAAAAGGAAATATATAACATCACTTTCAACAAACTTTAATTCAACACCGTTAGATGAAATGAATCCAAAATCTATTTGTAGACACCATTTTATCAATTAATTAATTAATTAATTTTTTTGTTTTATTATTTTTTTCTTCTTCTTCTTTTTTTCTTTTTCTTTTTTTTTCTTTCTTTTTCTGACAACTTTTCTGCCGACCGCCTGCAAGCCGCCCTAGCTCTAACAGCCACCGGCAGCCGTTTTGACAGCCAGTGGCCGCCCTAATCATAGGTAATTTGCTCTATAAATAGAGCTGCAAAAACACTTGCAAAAGGAGGAAGAGGAGCCCAAAAAAAATTCCCGTCATAAAAAACAACAAAAAAAAAGCAAATAAAAAAAAAAACACACTGCCAAATTCCAAAAAGGAGCTTCCCATGAAAAAAGAGGATCCAACACCAAAAAACACAAATAGTCCCTAGAATGGGAACCGCAACGCCAGCCAAAAAAACCACAAAAACAAAAAATTTCAGTTTGGGCCGAACCTTCCTGGCTAGATCTACACAGTTCAAGGCTCTTTTTTGTGAAACTAAGCTCGGATTCATATTTAAGAGGGTGAAAAAAAGATTCTTGAAGATTTTGGATTTTTTCGACGACCGACAGATGGTGACTGACGCGGCGGAGCAATCGTCGGATTTTGGATTTTTTGAGAGAGAGGGAAAGTGTCTGAAAAGAAGAAAGAAAAAAAAAAAAAAGGAAACTGAAAATAAACAGCTGATTCGGCCTTTAAATAGGCCTTCAAAACAATATTGTTTAAGAAAAAAGCAAAACAACACCGTTTTGACCCTAAAAGATCCGCGTGTCAACCCGCGACCCAATCCGGGATCCGCACACTCAACCCGACGATCCATTCTCCTTTTGACCCTCGACCGATTCAGCTAAACCGACTCAGACCGTCACTGAACCGTCGAACCAGCCCAGACCGCATTGATCAGATCGTTGACCGATCTGATTCAAATAAAAAAAATTATTTTTTTTTGAATTTTTTTTAATATTATTTTTGTTATTTTAAATTTTATTATTAATATTTATGCATATAAAAATATTTAAATTTATCAAAATAAATTTTTATTGTTTTATAATAATAATTATTAATAATAATAAATAATAAATTTTATAATAAAAATTTTTTATAAGTATAATTAAATAAAAATAATACAAAATTAATAAAAAATAAGAAAAAAAAAATTTTATCCGATAATGAGATTTAAAAGTATTTCGAGTAGTGATATCTACGAAATCTCTAGGTGAGAAGATTTTTTTTAAATACTACTAGTGTATTGAAGTATTTATAAAAAGGTTTTCAATACAATAAATTTTGTTTTCTTAATAGAATAATAAAAATTAATTTATAAAAAATTAAGAATAAGTAATAAAAAATGAGAAAAAAAAAATTTATCCAATGATGAGATTTTAAAAGTATTTCAAATAAAAATACTTTAAGAACTCCCTAGGTGAAAATATATCAATGTATTGAAATATTTATAAAAAATCTTTAATATAATAAAAATTACTATTTTCTTCATTTTTTTAAACGAAAAAATTAATAAAAATTCATAATATTTCTAAAAAGTAAAAATAAAATGTATGCATCAATATGTTAGCATTTGTATTGTATGCATGACATAATTTTTATGAAAAGTAAATTGAAACATCCGAAAATGAGATTCTAAGGTATTCTAAGAAACGATGCCTAAGAAATCTCTAGGTAAAAAAAAATTCTTTTAATGTTACCAACGTACTGAAACATTTTAAGAATTATTTCAATAAAATGGTTTTAATTTATTTTTCTCTAATTAAACTTGAATAAAAAATATTAAATAAAATTAAAGGAAAAACCAAAAATGCAATGAATAAAAAAAAATAAATCAAGGAATTATTTTTCAAATATCGAAAATAAGACTGTTTATATTAAAATCAATGGACAACATATAGTTATTTGGTACTATTTTAAACGAACGTTATAAGGATACTAATACTTCCTCACACATAACCAACTCTCGAATTCAGACTGTTATGTAAACCCTAAAATTATCTTTTCAATAAATTTTAAAATTTCATTAAAACGATATGTTTTAATAAGTGACCACTCGCATCTATCCAAAAATGATTGACAATGATTCCGTTATTTTTTATTTTATTTTCAAATTCGTCGGACGGATACAATTCGATACTATTAACTACCATTTGCAGAAACATACTAGTAAATAGAAACTAATGATACCAACAAATGCTAAAACATGTTTCACACAAAAGTTAGTACACCCAAAAATTACCAAACACTGCAAAAAGTGCATAAAAACCGTTCAAAAAAAAAAAAGAGTTATAATCCAACGGATAGCTGACATCATTTTAATAGAAGAGAAAAAATAAGAAAAAAGAAAGATCAAAGCTTCAAGAAAAACAACTGACATCTTAAAACAAGAAACAGAACCAAAAAAATCAAAGAAAATGACTAAAAATGTTCGAAGAAAGCAGCAAAATTTAACAATAGAAAAGAACAAAAGAAATGGAAACAAAAGCCCTCGGCATCGAATGTTAAAGAAAGACGGGCTTACCCCAAAACTCCATGGATCTGGATGATGATGATGATGATGATGGAAGAAAAAGAGGGCGGCCAAGGTTCTGGGAGACTAGGGTTTTAGAAGGGAGAAGTGCGAGAGAAAGTAAACGCTCGGCATTGAAATGAATTTATAAGCGAAGTTGCCGCCAGGTTGCGTGTATTCTTTTTTTAAAGCTTTTTTTTTTTTTGGGACCTTTTCAGTGATTGTGTGGAAGCTTCGTTTCTGGACTTATGACCCAACATTTTTGGGTCTCAAAAATTAATCTGACCCAATCCTGACTTTATTTCTTTGGGGGGGGGGGTTGGTGTTGGATGGGCTACATTTGACCTAACCCAATTTTTGCCAAACTAAAAAAAGCCCATCATGAATGGCCTAATTCCATGAATGGTTATTGAGAAGTTCCTAATTGTGAAATTAAAAACAAAATATAGACATTAAAAAAAAGTTGAAGCTAAGGTTTAATACAATTAGTTAATGCAATCATTTTAAAAAAATAGCATCTTATAAATTTAAAATTTAATATTTAAAATTTATTTTTTATTTTTAATTTATGATATCCGAACAACTCAAACTCAAAATATAAAATAAAATTTTAATAAATAACTATGAATTATATATATTTTTTGATACATAATAAAACAATTAGAATTGGGTTAAATATACTCCGTTTATTAATACACAAAAATTTGGGTATGCAAAATGAGCAAAAGGATTTTGTTTTCGGTACTTAGAAGATAAATCTTTTATGAAATTTTAACACGCAATAAAAATAACTCTCTTATCACATCTCGAATTCTAACCGTATGTAATGTTGAATTGAAGTATTGGATAGTTATCTTCTTTTACAACGGAAAATAAGTGACAATATCAGTATGAATATAAAAATATATATTGAAAGTCCAGCAAACACATTTTCTAGTAAGCAGTGCATTTTAACAGTTCTATTGCTAATATGGGATAGAAAAGAACCAGCATGATTGAAAATGGGCTTAACGTCACACAAGACTGAAACATTGCTAAGATGTTATATGTAGGATCAAATATCAATGTATCATTCAGAAAATGTGATTTCAATTATTCAAGGCATTTATATTTCGTTTTTTATATATTAACTTTAAAATCTTTTAATTTCACAAGTAAGATTTTTTTATTTTTTTACTATACCAAAATGTTTTATTCCGCTATCAGTCAATGTGATAATTATATATATAGCATATGCTTGATTGTGCAACTATTAATAATTAGTTCATAAAAATATTAAAAAAATAAGGATGAAACGTCAGTTTGTATAGCAATGATTTGATAGTGAATCTGATCTATAAGCCAACGCAAAAATAAAACAAGACTAGGAAATGATGCCTCATAAAACACAGGAGGGTACCTTAATTTTTCCACCATAATTTTTGTCTCTTGGGGGTGTTCCATCCGTGCATATGTCATATTCACTATAATTGAAAAAAAAATTAATAATAAGGATCCAAACTGATTTCGAATGAAACAACATTATTATGCTTATAATAATTAACTTTAGGGTTGCATTTGGGGGAGTTGGATTTGAAGAAAAAATCTCATGGTGAGGACAAGCTAATCTTTTTTCTTTTTTTTTTTGTAATTCAAGTGAATCTTTTGCTTATGATGCAACTAATTGCCTACCATATCAATCCAAACACAATTTTAAAGACATCTTACATCATATTTTTGGTGGATCAATGTCCTGTTCTTCACACGTTTATGCTGTGTAAAGCTTTTGCTTTAAACAATAAAGAAAACCATATATGTTCCTCATGTCAGAACGCGCGTTGGAATTTTCATTGATTTGTACCAATTATCTTTGTTTTTTATGTTGCCCTAGCCCTACCACATGCATATGGTTCCCATAACAAAATTTTTCAGGACAAAAATAATGCATGGAGGATTCCTAAGACAAAAGAGCTTTACTTTTGGAATACATACAGAGATGAAGTTTCCCATGGTTTCAGACTTTCAGTCGACAAGTCCCTCAAAAAGATCAGGTTTCTGGGGCTGAGAAATGGGAATCTTCAGCTTATGATGTAAAAAACAAACGTGTTTCCAGCCATTGCATTCATGTATGCTGCCACAGCCATAAACCTAAAATATTTACAGTTCTTGTTAAAGTGTTTTTATGTTGATAAAATAAGATTTGTATATAATTTAAGGAAAAGATAAAAATGAATGATTAAAAGGACTCTAGAATTAAATTTCAAGACATGTTTCAACGTCGATCAAGTCAATAACTACATAAAAAAAAAAAATTGGTGAAAGCTGAGAAGATTTCTATATATGTACGAGAGTAAGACCAATTGATCCAATCCCTTGGTCCATGTTGTTATTATAAAAAAATAAATAAAAAGGTCAAATCGATGATTATATAAGAAGAATGAAAGAAACTCTAATTTAATCTCTAAACTATTCTTTAATTCATTGTATCCTCAAAGAAAAGTTGTTCATGCAATTAGTCAAAGATAACAACATATCATTCTCCTTTATGGTGTAAAGTTTCATAACATAGCCAAGTTATACATGTGACAAGTCCATGTTTTGGGCAGGTGAGTGATCAATTTATGTACCCTGAAAGCCCCTTTTTGTAGAAGGGAATGCTTGGAGGAAAAAAATAGCTATCATGGAGGGAAGGAAGGGTGGGAATGGGGACACCAACAAGTAACAGCTATAGCCTATAGCTATATGTGACAGCTCCTTTTATCTAATGATAATTGCAAACCCAATTTACAGTAAATAGCAAGCATTGACTGTCGCCGGAACTATAATTTCAGAATATATATAGTGAAGATTTCTCATTCATTTATGCATACTAAAATTAGACTATTGTATAAGTTTTACATTGATCTCACAATGCTTCCCCATTTGCTACAATCATTTTGTCCATGTCTTCTTTTTATGCAAGAGATGCCGCAAATTTATTTCTTAAAAGAGATGAACTAACCAGTTACAGCAAACTCCAAATTTATTATGCTCATATCTTCGTTGCAAAGGAAGAATATTAAAATCTATTTATTCAAATTCTAGTATTATTTTCACTTATGATTGAAAATGAAAAGATGGTAAAATAATTTGTAGATAGAATATTAAATCTTTAACAAAATTCAAAACCTTATCTCAAAGTATAAAAAATAAAAATGAACATAAATTAATTTTTTATAGATAAATACTGATTTCAAAATTAAATTTGGTGTAATATTTTAGATATTAAATTTGATTTATCTTTTAGGGTTAAAATTATCCCAAAATGATTATTTTCTATACAAAGGCCAACATAATAGTTATTTACTTGACTACTTTATTAAACAAAATACGAAATTTCCACGAAACATACCAACTTTAATCAATCAAGTCTAAAAAACTGTACATTTTCAATTTTTCATAACAAATTAAACAAAAGAGAGATTATGATTAAACACTCTCTTTCCTTCACTAAAATTTTAACTACCTTAAGCGCCGGTAACGGAAGAACCTAATGCGAGGGAAACCGAGACCGGGAGTGGAGCGACGGCTCTCGGGTTTCCGATCACTAGAAGCTACCATAACCTGAAAGGTATAGCCGTAAAGAAACAGGAAACCCAAAGGCAAATGGAAAAGCCAACGACAAACGGATAGTCAACGAAGCTGACCCAACACCTCGCAGCCAATTTATAAGGAAAGCAACGAAAAGAGTTAGAAACGGCTATGAATCAATGAATGTCTGATTTTGCTTGGGTTACCGGCTACGTCCGGTTAATGGGAAATAAAGTAATTTTCGTTTTCCACGTGGTAAATCAAGTAGTGACCGGCAATTGCCCGCGGATGCAACATTTGTGTGGCTTTGCTTGAGCCTTGAGTATTAAGTGTTAAACTGCTTCGTGCTAAAGTGCACTGGTGTAGTGTTCTTTCGGTGACTACAGTTAACACGTCGTATGGTCGCTCCGTGAGTCTCGTGGGTGTTTGGTGTGAAGGGGCAATCTATCGTGTAAGAATATATTATATCGTTCCTCTTGGTTTAAGACGGCTGTTCGTTTACTCGTTTGGAACTACAACTCACGTGCTTTACACGAGTGATATATTGCATTTTTTAATCAGGTTAGTGGATCCTGCGTGGAAGGATAATCGGAGGAAGGAAAGTATTACTCGGAAGTAGTGCCCTTACCTAATCATGAAAAGGACGCTGCAGTGAAATTTGCAACTGCGAAAAGTGTCGGAAATAGTAAATTATTGGTTTAAGTAGGACCTCAGGGCGACCATCTGGACCTATGGAGATTTCTAGCACAATTTTTTATTTAATAGTTTTTTAAAAAACAAAATTTTAAATAAATCCCATAATTTAATATATGAGAAGTAAATATAATATAAAAAATATGAAAATAATATAATTTTTAATTTTTAATAAAAATTAAAAAATATATTTTATATATTTTATATTAATACAAATTTTAATATTTAATTTTAATATAAAATATCACATTAATATATATATAAATTATTAATATTTTATATTACATTGTTGATGATATTTTTAAATGTTTTAACTGAAAAGAGATGAGATAAGATTGAAGAGAAAACATTTAGATCCTGCAATCAAAGAATACAATCAAAAAATATCAAAATTATTGCTTCGAGATATACTCCAACGATCAAATCTGATGCAATTAGTCAAAGCCTATCACGTATCATTCTCCTTTACGGTGTAAAATCTCATAGCATAGCCAAGTTATACATGTGACAAGTCCATGTTTTGGGCAGGTGAGTGATCAATTAATGTACCCTGAAAACGCCTTGATGTACAAGTGAATGCTTGGAGGAAAAATAGATGTCATGGAGGGAATGATGGGTGAGAATGCGGACACCAACGAGTAACAGCTATAGCCTATAGTTATATGTGACAGCTCCTTTTGTCTAATGATAATTGCAAACCCAATTTACAGTAAGCAATGACTGTTGCCGGAACTATAATTTCAGAATATATATAGTAAAGATTTCTCATCCATTTACGCATACTAGAATTAGTACATCATATAAGTTTTATATTGATCTCGCAATGTTTCCCTATTGTCAAGATTCAAAATTGTTTGTAGGGAATAAATTTACAAATTTTAATATAAACCCCTTTGTTACAATCATTTTATGTCTTATTTTTATACAAGAGATGCTGCAAAATTTATTTCTCTAAAGAGATGAACTAATCATTTAGAGTAAACTTCAAATTCATTTTGCTCGTATCCTCTTTACAAAGAAAAAATATTAAAATCTATTCAAAATTTAATATTATTTTCACTTATGATTTGTAATACTATTATAATTGAAAATGAAAAGATGATCAATAGTAATGTAAATTATTGATAAAATATTAAATTTTTAAATAAAATTCAAAATCTTATCTCCAAGTAAAAAAATAAAAAGCGAACATAAATCAATTTTTTATAAATAAAAACTGATTTCAATATTAAATTTGGTGTAATATTTTAGAGTTGAAATTATCCCAAAATGATTATTCTCTAAATAAAGGCCAACATAATAGTTATTTACTTGACTACTTTATTAAACAAAATAAGAAATCTCCATGAAACATTCCAACTTTAGTCAATCAAGTCTTAAAAACTGTACATTTCCAATTTTTCATAACAAATTAAACAAAAGAGAGATTATGATTAAACACTCTCATTCCTTCACGAAAAATTTTAACCCTACATGCAATTTTTTTTTTCTCAATGTTGCATTCTTCAAAATCTAAAACCACAACAATTTAAAAATATTCCAAGCTTATTTTACAAAATACAATACCAAAAACAAAATAACAAAAAATTGCCTGTTTATTAAAACTAGAAATTCATGAATTTGAGCCATGGTATAATGCTCTTCGTCACCTTTTCCGCCTCTTTGGAGCACGACGTCGTTTTGCTCTCGCCGTCCTTTGACGCTGCCGTTTTTGTGCACATGAAGAAATTTCTCGATCCCAACGCCATCAGCTTCTCATCCCTTTGCAAACCTGCGCCCCAACATAAAATAAATTTGCAATCAATCATTACCCGTACACGTGCCTTAAAAGATAAAGTGCTCTAATCGAACGGCTAATTATTCTTTTGATAAGGTTTCGTTATTTTACTTTCTAAGCTGAATTGAGAGTAATGGAGGTCGCAAAGCGACGCGTCCGTTGATGGCAAGATCGGTCGGCGACCTTCCTTCGAGTACTGACGAACGGCTGCGATTATTAAGTCGCCGACAGTGTTTTCTGGCGACATCACTAGTTGCAAGGCCCCGAGGCTCCCTTGAATCGTCACGTTTAATAGGAGCTTCGTCAACTTCGGCCTCGCATCCAGTGAGATGGAAACAGTCCTCTCTGAAAGTAGGTCGGGTAGCGTATTCGGTCGCCTGAGCTCCGCCGGTGTCATCATCGGGATTTTCCCGTGAAACGATGATGCCTTTTCAGACAGCCTTCCCCTCCGGTTCTTTTCCGGTTCCTTACGGTTATTTTTCGAATTCGGCATCGAATTGAAATTATCGAGTGTAATATTATACAATAATTCCAAAAAAAAGAAAGTGAAAAAAAAACTTTTCTTTTATGTATTTTAGTGGGTGGCCGTGAGTCAACGATTACCTCAAGCGCCGGTAACGGAAGAACCTAATGCGGGGGAAACCGAGAGCGGGAGTGGGGCGACGGCTCTCGGGTTTCCGGTCACTAGAATCTACCATAACCTGAAAGTTATAGCCGTAAATAAACAGGAAACCGAAAGGCCAAAAGAATAGCCAACGAAAAGCTGATGTGAAACGAATCTGCCCCAACCTCTCGAAGCCAATTTATATAGAAAGGAAAACGAAGAAAAGAGTGAGAAACGGCTATGAATATCTGATTTTACTTGAGTTACCGGCTTCGTCCGGTTGATGGAAAATTAAGCATTTTTCTTTTTCAATGTGGTAAATCAAGTGGTGACCGGTAATTGCCCGCGGATGCTACATTTGTGTGGCTTTGCTAGAGCCTTGAGGATTAAGTGGAAAACTGCTTCGTGCTAAAGTGCGCTGGTGTAGTGTTCTTTCGGTGAGTACAGTGAACACGTGGAGGGATTTTGTGGTTTGATGGCTCCGTAACTCGCTTGTGTGTTTGGCGTGAAGTGGTCAGATACCGTGTAAGAGTATCGTTCCCCTTAGTTTAAGGCGGCTGTTCGTTTACCCGCTTGGAACTACAAGTCACGTGCTTTGCACGTATGATTTATTGCATTTTTTAATCAGGCTGGTGGATCTAACGTGGCAGAACCATTGTAGCAAACTTTTTCTAGAAAGTAGTGACCTTAGCTAAGCATGAAAAGGTAAGTTCCAATAAAATTGTGACACGTGTAAATGTGTCGGCAAAAAAGTAAGTAGGACCCTTAGGACTGCCATGTGGACCTATGGAGATTTCTGGCACGAGATTTTATAAACAAAATTTTAAATACATCTCACAAATCAATCCACGATAAGATAATGTAACATAAAAATATTATTTAAAATTTTAATAAATTTATAGAAATTTAATAGAGCTTAAAAAATAAATTTCTTACTTTTCATTTAAACATTATTTTAACACTTATTTTTTATGTAATTAAAATATAATACAAATACATATATCTATGAATTGTCAAATTTAAATATAGGAGTTTGATACAATAGATAAAAGATAAATAATATTTAATATAATACAAGGTAGTCTTACTTTATGTACGTTTCTTTTACTGTAAATAAATTAGTTACGTTGATCGCTATCTAAGGGTATTCAGGTTTTTATTTTAATTAAATTGGTTTGATTTGATTAATCCATTGCTTATTGAATTAATTTAAATTTTTATTAATTATATATAATGATTAGAAAATAAATTTTAAATTAATTTAATTTGATTAATAAAAATAAAAAAAATTTAATTGAATTTTTAATATTTAATTTGAAATTAACTGAATAAATACCTTTACGTGAGTTTTATTTATTTGACTTATATTATAATTGATATTTATGTGAAAGAAGGAAAAAAACCATAGTAAAAATAAGATCAAGGTAATATTAATTATTTAAACGACAAAAGTTGAGAAAACAAATATAATCTTTATTTAATTTAGAAAAAAGTGATTTCGTAATGCATCCTATATACTAATACTTTATTGAAGTCGTGAGATATTGTATCAGCCACCGCATCGTTATAATTATATTATAACAATACATCCAAAATTAAGATAATGTGTATGAATTGAAGGATTCCAACATTTGTCTCTATTATTGAAATTATGAGAAAGGGGTTGGATTTCGTTTTTAACTTTAGTAATTGAAATTAAAATACAATTATTTTATTAACAAATCACACGTCATCGTTGATAGACAAGTATGGATTAAATCCCACCTTAATTGTTGTCTAAAATTACAAGAAATCGGTTTTGTTTTTAAAAAAAAAAAAAGAAAAACCAAAGAAAACTATTTAACCTTTAATATTTGATTTTTTTATTGAATTTTAAGTAATTATTTATTTGATTGAAGTGCTTACCCAACTAGTTCTTGAGTTTAAGTATGATAGATCTAATCAAAGCTTTTGAAATCTTTGCCTTCCTGAATAAGTATATGAACTTTCGATCAGGTAATTAGGATCAATTTTTCTTTATGAGTTATATGTTGTGGTTGTTTTTGTTGAAGATTATTGGTTCACTGATCAAATTATGGATTCTTCTTTGCTTAAAATACATATGGATAACCATGTTAAAGAGGGTATTTTTGGTTGTCAAATGGGTTTTTTGTTTTTTTTAATATAATGATTACAATTTGAAAATAAAAAAATAATTATAATTATTGAGATTTAAATTTTAAATTTATTAAATATCATTTTTAAAAAATGATTAGAAGAAAGAAAAATTTTTCCAATTATGTCTTTGATCAAAGTAGGGGTCTTAAAATACACTTGCACTAAAGCAGGTCATCCTTCAGAACAACACCTCCCCAAACTAAACTCAATGATCTAGGGCAGGTGACATTCAATGGTTCGATGGTCTTAGCCTGCGGCTGAAGTGGGTCCTAAAGAACAAAGACCACTTGACAAAGAGAAGGGCTTGACTGGTGCAGGTTGGTCTCCCAACTTTTCATTTACTAAAAAACATACAAATGAGCTACAGTCGTGACCAAGAGGGAAAGAACATAAATGATATGGGAAATGTTTGGCCAAATCGAAGAGACCCCACCATTCCAGTTCCCGCCTCTATTATTTGTGTTTGGCTGTTGATGAATGTTTCTGTCCAGATTCTAGTGATCGTCTAGTTTGCAGAATCCTATCCAGGATCTTGCGTTTGCTTCCGGGCCATTCAACATGTTTTTATTCGGTAAAACCGATCTTCATCCCTTCCGTGTAAGCTTTACTACTTCAGTAACACGTTTTAAGCAATTTTTAATCATGTTCTTCTTACAGGTTGGATTACATATTTACATTTTTTTGGTAAAAAAAATTATGTTCGATTTTTAAGCTTGAAGCTTTAAAATACGAGGGAAAGCCAGCCATATGGGAAAGTGGGCCAGACAGTAATGGAAAGTGGGCCGTGTACTCTATTAGGTGGCGTCGAAGAGTGAAAAAATTTTGGAGGCCACGATTGTAACACTTCAATCTTCGAATATTTTAAAAATTTGTTATAATATATTTAATATTTATAAAATATTTATAAGATAAAATTATAAAATTAATAATATCTCGTATTACAAAAATTTATTTATTTCTGAATTTAACTCTGTACATCAAATTATGAAGAAAATTCTAATATATAAGATGAGAGAGTTCAATTTGGAAGTAGACGTGCGTGGATGACCATTGACTTGAAAGTAGAAGCAATTGAAAAGTAGTTATTAGAAGTAGAAAAAGGGAAATTAGAAAACAAAACTGGTTTAAAAAATAAAAGAAATTTTAGAAAGGTCAGAATCTTGTAATGAAGAACATGTTTCACGTGCCTGTTTAAAAGCATATATACAGAAGAAAGACGTCTTAAAAATGCCCTCAAATTTTAGAGACGAGTAATTTTCATTAAGTTGAAAGTTAGGAAATTGGCAAAAAAAAAAAAAAAACCTCATCGATCACCAGACGTTCCCTGTTAAGGAAGTTCTTGGTATTTACTTGAAAAGGATTTGTCATAACATTATAAATGGTTTAGGTTGGTTGGTATTTGATAATTTAAGCGAAACTCATAAAATAATACCCTTTATTATTTTTTTAATAAAAAAATCATAAATTAAATATAAAAATATTACAAATATTATAATTTGATTCTTGATATTATCTCTCAAAAATAGTTACATGAACTCTTCAACTTCATCTTCGCTTACTTTTAAGTTTAGGGGTTAAACGATACGATTTGAGAGGACATGGTAAGTTCAAGTGAAAATGTTTTATTCTCAGTTCTTACACCAAAAGAAAAAAAGGGGGGATGGGCAAATATTGAAGTGCTGGACCAAGTATAACAGTTTGACAATTTCAAAGTAATATTAGATGGGTTGCAAGCAATAAAATCTATTTTGACAGGCTGGGTTGAATTGCCCACAAAGGGGTAGGAACTTTGGAAGTATTTGCGTGTAGGAAAACCAATTAAGCTAAATCAAATTTTAGTTCCAAGCATAAATACCGAACTGAGAGAGAGTGGGCTGCTGCTGCTTTAATGAGTGGTCCAGGCCCTGTTGGCTGTGCTTCTCCATGATATTGGCGTTTGCCGAATTGTCACAGTCAGCCTTGCAGCGAACATGCAATGTGTTTTAATGCCCTTATCTTTTCTCTGCTTTCTTTGTTCTACTACATTGCATTGCAAATTGGACCAATTGGAAATCAGGGTTCTTCTTATCAATTTACCTCTTGGCGTGGACGTGAACATTATCCAAATGCCAAATCCCAACAATGAATTTTCTTGTTAAAACTTTCAAAGCTTCCCGTGATTCCTGTTTTTGACACCTTAATTTGGAGGCATGGAAGAGTGAACACCAAGCCTAGATATAGTGTGGCTAGGCATGCTTGCAGTTGCTCTGGTGACCTCCTAAGTGCAACGACGTCAGTTTAAAAGGAGCCAGCATAGATTGTGGTATAATGCAAGCACTTCACAGCACCTTTTCTCAAACTGAAGCTTGGGTCAGATTTTGTTAGGCAGCTAGATATTGTCAAGCACTTCAAAAGTTACCTCCTTTTTCTGGTTTCAAGTGAAGAAGCAAGCTCTAGCTCTTGATTTTCATTTTTCTTGACTTTTGGTTACTGTGATTATTCAGGCATTTTCAAATCACCAATGTTTCACGGTGACTTTAGACAAGATATAATCCACGTCATTCGATGATTTTGGACACATACAAATCCACATGGCTGTTTTTTGTGTTTCATTTGACAAATGATTATGAACTAAAATCTATGGAATGGCAAGGCCTTGAACTTTCTGTTCACATTAGCCAGTAAAATTTTCATAGGCTTCGTTATTTGTTTAAAATTGGCTTCTTAGTTCCCCTAAACTTCTCGACAGAATAAATGGTAGCTGGGAAATTTCCTTTAACCCTGAAACAGATTGCTTAGAGTGATGTAGTCTCATGATGGTTTAAACATGAACAACTTAATATACATTAGGATGATAAAATTTGCTGAGGTATTCAATCTAGTGAAGTTTGAGCATCATCAGATTAAATTATCAGAAAATGCGAGTTTTTCCTCCTATTGAAGCATGCAACTGAAAAATTTCCAGAAACGTGCCTTAGCCTGAAAAATTACATGAAAATACAATCACCAGAACCAAAGTAATCATCTTGATCATTCACTAATCTCAATTGCCTGATTAAAACTTCATTCATCCCTCATTTTCTTTGCAAAAATCTGAACACAACTTTCACTATAAGAATGAAGCATCCATGAAATAAGTCAGATGATAAATTGTTGATCATCTTAGCTTTTTATTTGCACAGTAAAATGTATCAAAACTCAATGCTTGTTCAATGTTTAATTCTGATGTTTAATAGTATTTTTTTTTTCTCTTAATAAAAGATAAAAACTAAGTCCATATACTTAAATTAAGATTGGCCAAAAAGTAATCAAATACAACCTGAAGAAAACTGACCCTCAAAGTTCCAGCCATTCAAGTTCCTACAATGAGGCTCGATAATTTTTAGTATCTGTGTATGACTCCAAACAACAAACTGGAACATGCAAAGATAAAATGCAGTCTGAATATTCCTTGGGTACAGCATGCAGCCCTAAATGGTTATGCTTGCTAGGTTTTTGTAGGCTGCTTCTGGTATTAGCAGTAGTGGCTAAAGGACATGACAAAATCTTACATAAGGAGTGTAACTGAGACTTTTGTCCACTAGAGTGATTTTGTGGTTGAAACTTTTGATGATCTTGCTTAAATGCTCTCAACCTTCCCTTATGGCCATGCACTGGAGGGAAACTGACCGAATCAATTGCTTTCAAGAGGTCACTGGAGTTTTCTACAATTAAGGAAGGATGCGATTTTTGCGGTAATCTACCTTGTTTCAATGACAAAATTGATTGTTGCAATGTGGATGGAACCTGCATAGCAACAGAGAAAAACAATTGAAAGTTTCAATATAAAAGTGAGGTAATCTCACAAAAGATACCTAGTCAATTAGAATAAAGGATCCTGAAAATAAAGTGTAGACATAAATGTCCAGTTTGGTCACAATTGGAATTGGAAGATAAAGCTTTTCAGATGAATTTCCTACTATTTTGGACATCGTAAAGTTGAGACTACTCAATACAGTTAATATATAAAATAATAATTTCAGAAATCTAATGTCATAAAGCAATGGTTCACCTTCACCTATCATTTTTTTTTATCCCTATGCAATTACAAAGCTTGCATAGTGATGAGAACATAAAAAGGGAAATCAAAATGAACGGAATAAGAACTTACTGCCGAAACAAGGCTACAAGAAGCAAATAACAATGAAGATGAAGAGAATGGAGACTCCCTAGGCTCCTTTCCCTTCTGATCGTTCGTTATTGAGCCCTGATCTGCAGCAACAGATCCAAAACTGGAAGGTGTAGCATCATCATCCTCTTCCTCTTCAACTCCCTCCTCATCCACATCTTCATCAACTTCCTCTTTGATAATGGTTTCTTCCTCTTGGTTTGCCACCAAAGAAGGATCTTCTTCCTCCTGCAAACCCATTTCTGCCTTCTTTTCCTCCTCTTTCTCTTTCATCCTTAACTCCTCATCCATGTCCTCAATGGCCTCTTCCAAACACAATTCAGCCTCTATAAGGTCAAGTTCATTTTCAATAAACTTCATCTTCATCTCACTGGCTTTCTTCTTCTCTTCAGTCCACTTTTCTAGTTTATCAAATCCTGACTTCAATGCATTTTCTACTGCCATTACAAAACGCTTCCATATATTATCCCTTTTCACAATCACTTTTCGTCCATAGAACTCATCAAATCCAAGGGGTAGGAACTGAACCTTCTTCGGGTCTACCTCTTCACCTTCTCTCAGACGCGGCTGCCAAAATAATCGGATCCCATGCTCCTCATCCTCAATGTAATTGATTAATCTTCCAGTTGGGGCGTGCAAAATGAGGGGATCTTCAGTATATACTAGCTTTGATGGATCTTCGGGGTCAGGTTCCGGTTCCTTGTTGATAAGAACAAATTCTGCAGTCTCATCTGATCAAGAAATTGTACACATCCATTTAAACAAAACCAAAAAAAAAAAAAAAGGATTCTTGATATCCCTTCCAAAGACTAAGAACTGACTGAAGGGAATGCAGAATACCTTTTGACCACCAATATTCAAGCTCTGCAGGCATAGGTAACCTCAGCGGAGCTTTATAGAAGGAGTTCAACCACATTTCTCTTTCCTGATCAACTTCATGCACATATGTCTTCCAATAATCAGGAACCTGTCAAAGAAACATACTCATTTCCTCTCCCTTTCCGTGATCTTGGAAAGAATCCACCATGCACAAGAAAAGTTTTACTTACTTCATAGAACTGGTTGATAAAGCCCGGTGCCATCCACACATCATCTTCCTCGTATAAATAAGGGTGTTGAGGATCACCATAAGGACCCCTCTCTTCCCTAACCACTGTAAAAGCAAATCAATAGAAAGTCATGATTATAAAAGGTTCATGTTTAAATTGTCAGTGATTAACTGTTAAAAGGCAGATAGTAATTCCAAAATTTCAAGTAGAGCTAAATTTCTAGTATCATCTAAATCTTGCTTAGTGTTGAATGAGAAAGCCATTTATTCAAATTTCAGAAAATAGCCAGGTATTTTAACTTCAGAAAATCCAACAAGAAAAACTGCGTTCAAACTTCAAATCTAATTCTGGAAGACCGAGAAAACAAATTTTACAAAATAGTCATCAACATGCTCCATTAAAATCTCCTATGAGCATCCCCTTTGCACCCAAAAAATAGATGAGCAGAAGATTTATATGAAAGCTTTTATCAACAATGACTTATAACCCATATCCATATCAAAATATAAGTTTCTAGAACTTTAAAAGATTCAGCTTCAGCACAAGTCAAAATGTTGATTTATCCAGCTCTGCCACTTCTATGTCCTTTTTGTTTTCTTCTCTTTCTGTTTCTTACTCGAGCATAGTTCTACAACCATGATCCATACCACACGCTTGAAACATTGGTTGCCATGATGGACGCTAGAGGTCACAATCCTCTAGGGACAATTATAAGAGAAATTATGTCATATATACCTAAACAACACGTCAAATTTGAAAGATGTTATGCATTTTAGTCAAGAAACTTGTGCAGAGATATTGTCTAAGGTTCTAAAGTACTACCCTGCTATATGCAGTTCTTTGGCAAGCATAGGATATAGGCATTTATCTTGTTCCCATGTCTAGAACGCACAAGTTGCAATGCCAAACAACATTTTGTGCTTGTACAAATGTAATTGCTAATAAAGTCAATGCTACATACTTCCATCTGGCTTATTAAGAAACATCCGAGCCTTAGCAGCAGCAACCTCTGCTATACCAGCATGCATCTGAAAGACTACAATGTCAGAGAAATACCATAATATAGAATTTCTTTCCCCCAGTTTCATTTTAAACTATCTATTAAGCATGCAAAATTGAGAATACCGCTGAAATGTTTTCATCACAATCATCTATATCCTCCAATAGCTCTCCAAAATAGAATCTTCCCTGCATCCACATAAATTGTATGCAACAAAATAAGCAGTCATGCATTTTTATAAGAGAATGCTAGTAGCTAAAATGATACATACAACAAAGTAATACAAAAAGGAGGAATCTCTATTATCAGCCACCAACCAAATTGATCGATAAGTGTTTTGCATTCTCTTAAGACCATCATATCTTAACATCTTTCTTTAGAAACATATTGTATAAATTTTGAACTTTCAAAGTTGTATGTTACTAGAAAGCATTATTTAGAAGAAAACTGAGGCTTATAAAGCAGAGGCCATGAACTGAGGTGCAGCAACATGTATTAAATCTTATGAATAAACCAATCCACATCTTCATGGAAGAAATGGATTTCATTACATAAATTAAGCCTTGAACAAAATGGTTTATATTTCAAGTGCATACATAGATGGTGCGTTCATTGATTTCATATACACCACATCCATGCATTCTGCCATGCTTCCACTGGCCAGCATAGCGGTACCGACCCTTCTCCCTGAAACAGAAACATTTGTCTTCATAACATCATAAATTGAAATATATGCCCTGATAAAGTCTAAAAAAAAAAATGGCAGAAAAAGTAAGGTACATGCTCAAAACATAAAAAGAGCCTTGCATGATACAACATAAATGCCCAATATGTGCATGTGCATATTGGGAAGATTAGGAAAATCAACACGCACATGGTCAAAAAAAAGGGGCAGATTTATTTTGCAAGGATGACTGTAATAAAACAAAAAGAAATAGATAACTTGATAGTGGTACATACGGTTTTCTCCCAAAATGTTTGATCCACACATTACTCTCGTAAAATGGTATTTCATACCGTCCACCAGCCAGACGAATGCTATCTTCAACATCCATCTTTAACCATCGTCTATCTTCTCGGGTCATGAAATCACTTGATATTATTTTTCCTTCAGCTCGCATTTTTGCTTCAAGCCTAGAAAAATGGGAAATATACAATCTCATTGTATCATGTACAAATCTATTGCTGAGATTGTAAAACCTACATTATAACATAGGAGCACCATAATAGTTAATAAATTGTGACATACTTGGAACCTGGCATAGGTTCTATATCAGGTATATCAACTTCAACGACCCCATGACCTTCCATGGTGTTTTGCAGCCATTCACCTTCATACCTATGAAGGAAAACATCTTGTAAGATTTTCCTTTTTTGTAATAAAATAATGTAAGCAGTGTAGAAGTACTTGAAGCACCTCATTAGCCCAACAGTGTACAAATTTATAGACCCAAAAGAGAGGGGGGGAAATGAATCATTCAAACAGCACTCTCAGAGTTGACCAGTGAAGGAGCATACATTTCAATGCTACAACTACAGCAGAGTCTTATCTGCATGTTTTAGAGCCTTCAACGTAGGGTGGTACTAAAAGATATGTATGAAGAAAGGGAAAAACAACAATATGATAAAGTAACAGAGATAAACAAACAAAAGTAACATCAAGACTGATGATGTGAACATTGACAAACCTGACCAGCCCCTGTTCTGCAACATAAACGCCTTTGCCATGAGCCGAGTCATCCCAAACTGTGCCTTCATACCTTAAACAAAAAGCAGAATAATGATAATGAGCAATCAAACAAGTCAATGGGAGACATGAATCAGGCATACCATTACTTTGCAGTTCAAACATATGGAAAGCAAACCACTGGATTAAAAAGAGTAAATGACTAACCTTCAGCATACATTCACCTATTCCCCACATAAATCTATAATTTTGCCTCTTGCAATTCACAAAGCCTAAACTTTTTTGAAGTTTTAACTCTTCATAAACATATTCTACTTTTGTTTATTTATCCAAAGGCATTCTTCTTGTGTTTCAAAAGCAATGTAATTTCAAAGCAAAAGCAATGACCAAAGGAAGCCTATTAAGAAAAATGTAGCTACCTTATCCCCAAACTCCTCAATTACAATACTCCAGTGAAGTAAATGCATCCCCTTTCAAGAAAACAAAAATACTAACAAAACAAGGAAAAAAGAAAAAGAAAGTTTCTTTAACATACGAGCTTCCATCAGGGAAAATGTAGCTGACCCAATTGAGGAACTCCTCAATCCTATCCAACTCTTCAATAACCGCTTTGGGGTTCTTAGTATCAGGGTTGTTTGTGGCTATAATCGGATAAGGCTTCCGATAAGGAACATAAAATGGGGCAATCCCCGGGTCCCGACCCTCCTTAATCTCCTTCCTAGCAATTTCCCAATCATCTTCATCAGCCCAAACCGGGTCCCAACCGGGTTTGGTCATCTCCACGGGAGCATCCACCCAATACTCCTTCAAATCCTCTTCCCGCCAATTTTCGGGGTCTTCTGGAAAATCCCATGGGTCTGTGTAACGAATGTATTGTTGGTCTTCTTCTTCTTGGATTCTCTTTAAACTCTCGCTCTCGAGCACACGAGTGACCTTCGCGATGTTGCCTTCGGAGGCGTTTTCGGAATCCGGTGCGGCAGCGTCGGCGAGGATTTCGTAATCCGATTCTTCGCTGTAGTCGTCTGAGGAAGAGTCGAAGTCCGGATATTGCTGTTGTGACTCTTGTTCTTCTTCTTCGTCATCTGAATCTTGTTGTGACTCAGTGAGCTGTTCCTCTTCGTTGGACATTGTTCTGGAGGGGAAAGATAGAGAGCAAGATGAAGAAGAAGATAAGGTGGAGAATCTGAGGTTGAACGATATATACAGGGGAAAAAATGAGTGGTTTATTATTATTTCAAAAGGGTTTTGGGCTTTTTAGTCTTTTCCCTGTCATTAGGTGATTTTATCTTCTTTAAAAATTAAAATTATTATTATACTAGAATTTAATCAACCAGTAAATTTTAAATAACATTTAGAATTAGATCTCATCTACGCTGGATGGATTGTTTTTCAGCAAATTAACCCCAGAGCAAACAATATATATATATATATATATATCAAATTAACCCTTCTGTTATTGAACTCAACCACCAAAAAAAAATTTTTTTGGACATAAACCACCCATTTCATTTTATTTTATCTCTTACAGCGAAGTCTTCATTCTGTTGTGTAAAGAACAGAGAGCATAAAGTCTGGGTTTTGTATGCATAATAGATTTGAAAGTGAGTTTGGATTCTCGAGGCATGCTAAATTTGAATGCTAGAGGGGAAAAGGAACAGAGTTGTGCTCCATAGATTTGAATGTAAGCAAGGAAAAGGAACATGATTCAGAATTCAGATGGAATGATAGACTTATGCTTGGAGTCAGGCCCCACAGCCACAACCAAGGAAAAGGAACATAGTTTTGATGGGATGGAAAAGACCTGCCCCGTTTATGCGGGCTCCATAGATTTGAATAAAAGTATTTGTAGTTTGGAAAATGCGGATGGTCGTAATGAGCAAGTAATGCAGACTCATGAGGCTGAATCCACATGTTTAGTTTCTGCTGCAGCAATGGAAGGTTTAGATTATCTGAGCTCTGAGATGTGAATAAAGATATAAATGATTCAGTATTGAGGTATATTCCTTTTGTAGCACTCCCAAGTTTGCCCGAGCCTAAAGCCTCTCAGCCACCTGCATATGCAGATGCAATCTCACAAAATGCTTTTGTACCTTTGTCACGGGCGAGCGCTGATCCAAGCTCAGGGGTTCCATCCGAAACGAGTGCAAGTTCTGGTTTAAGTGAGATTGAGTTAAAGAGCAAGGGAAACAAATCCCAAACGAGCCCCGAAGGCTCAAGACACGGGATCGAGTCCTAGAACATGTGTGCAGCGCTAATGAAGACACCAATTACGAGAAAGCCCCAAAAGACCACTGAAATCCTTGACGCGAGCACTGCAACAGATAGGTTTGCATCTTTTAAACCTTTTCGAGTCATTTAAACTCTCTAATGAACCATTTAATGTAAATTTAGGACTTTTATATAATCTGGGACTCTAGAGAGCCATCCAGTTGGCTCCATCTCAGTCATTGGTGAAAGAAGACTTTAACTACAAATAATAATTACTCCACTCTCATTTCTATACCAAAATCATTGAGTAATAGAAGATAATCTTGTCTTAAACTTTCTTTGTTCTTTTAGATGTAGTTTGTTTTTTTTTCTAGATGCAGCATTTGGATGTTTCTGTTAGTGTGTCACTCCGTATTAAGTGCCTAAACATCTTTTTTTTTTGTTTTTTTTTATATGTAGCATTTGATTCTTTTTATGTGCACCCTTTGATTGTCCTGGCTTTCGGATATTGAGTGTTTAACTAGATTTTATGTGCATTTGTGTTATAAAAAGATTGAGCTATTTTATGAAAAATTAAGCTAAAAGGCCTTTAGGAATTAATTGTTTGAGCACGTATTTTGTGCTTAATTAGTTCTTTTTCCAAGTATAGGTGAAGTGACATTACAATTGATAAAAATTTAAGAATTTTCATGAAAGAGAATAATTGTGAAAAATTAAGCTTAAATCTTAAGTTAGTGCAGGGTAAGTGTTGTTAATTATATTTTTTTTAGTTTCTCAAATGTTGCATTTTTATTTATTTTATTATTAGAATTAATGCTCTAATATAGTTAACTTTGGGTTTAGATGATGGATTAATATCAGAGAATTCAATTTATGATAAAATTCATTTCAATTATATTGCATAAGAAATCAGACCAAGATCTGAGTAAGGAAGAAAGTATTTATAATGAGTATTTTGGATTTTCAATTAAAAAATATAAATTTTATTTTGCTTGTATATCAAATATTAAAAGAAGTTCCAAAAGCGAATGAAATTGAATTGATTCAATTTTACTAAATGTCACAAAAATGGTTAAAATATCAAAATAAGACTATTTATGTAAGAGACAACAAAGGTTAGGCCAGGTAAGGATTATACAATTGGAGTTTTTCCACATTTTATATATTTCACTTTTTTAATATTGAAATTCAAATTTTTTTTTTGGAATTAAAAGTTAATTATATGTTAATCAACTAATAGTATTTGATATTTTGTCAAAGAAGGCAAAATGTATCAATCATGCATTGACATTTATCAATTTCTCTACTCCCAGGCTAGCTTAGGCTACCTTCATAGGTAACATGTTACAACTTAAATGACTAAATATAATTTCATCAAGGCCATTCAATTTTTTATTTTAATTAAGAATATGAGCTAATAATTTATCACATAATTACATTGAAATGGAAGTTCACGCTATTTTAGAATATTTTAAGTAGAAAATTTGACTTGACGTGAGGGAATGACCTTTAAAGCAGAGAAAATTAAAATGAAATTGATTTTTTTTTATATTTGAAATTGATTTTGAAATAAAATTGCTATAATTTTCATTTGAAATCATATTAAATAACATAACAATAAATTATTAATTTTTTGATAAAAATTATACCAATTAACCTTCTTCATTACTTAGATTTTAATTAAAAGAATTACTTTCCAAATTTGTCTCAATTCCAAAGAAGAAGTCAACAATTGTATAAAACTTTTTCTCTTCAAAATATTTGTGAGAGATGAATTTTATATTTGTTAATTTTAATTATGTTACTTAATTTTTAACATATAATGGCGGGATCATCTTATAAAACTTCTTGTATTGATTTTTTTTTTAATCATGGTGAATTTAAGACGCAAGGCTTGTAAGTTTTGTCTCTTATTTTAGTTGTTTTGCTTTTTTTCATTGTTGTATTTTATATTTTTTTAACATTACAAAGTATTTTAAGAGGATTATGCTACATAGAGAAAGCTATTTTTAAAGTTGGGTATGAGTTAAAACAAGCCTTTACTCTCATGAAAAAGCTTAAGCTTTGACTTTTTACTTTCAAAGCTCGGAATTGTGAGAATTGTTAGATTGTTTAGCCTTTTCTGTTTTTCATCTTTATTTATGTTAAAAATCTTCAACTTAAAATTTTTATGCACATTTACACACATGAATACAAACAAATGCTTAAATATACAAGCATACATAAGTTTTTATGTCATCTTATCATGTCTTAACATAAGACTTTGCACGCCATATATAAATGGTTTCATAAAACCATACGATATTCTCGATAGTAACTTTAAATTCTTTTGTATTCATGATTATGTAGGCGTTTGACACTTTGATCAAATGATCAATAATGATTTGATAAGTGCATGATGAGGAATTTGATAATAAACTTCGGTACTATCAATTTTTCCTCCTTATCTGCATTACCTTATCTCATTCTTTCGTCACCTAAATTTCCCCATTGAAGAATTGGTTGCAATTTATATGGGCCTTTTATACCTTTTTATCTGTTTAATTCAATTTAAAGTGAATTCTTAATGATCATAATCATCTACTAACAGAACGTGTGTTTATGTTGTATTACTCTGCATGTAAACTTTAGATTTGATTCTGATAAGGTATTTACATACTTAACTGGATTATATTCTTAGTTTAGTAAATACAATTGATTTTTTTATGTTGCCTTTTTGCTTCAGCATCAAGTGGCGAAAGTCAAGAAACCTTCATGTTACCTAAGGAAGGTAATACGAGGACACAAGAATTAGATATTAGAGAAACAATTTCAACAAAAAGCTTCCCTGATGCACAAAATTGATTAATTGAAAGTCATTTTTATCCATATGCTTAAATTAGTTTGTTTCAAACAAATAGTTGTTGAAATTAGTTTATTTGTAATTATAAGTCACCATATGATTTTGGTAGGTTGAGAAGAGAAGTGTTATACAGTTCAATTTTCTCTTTTTTCCTATTTATCTTGGGTTGATATTTATTTGATAAAGGAGGAAAATTTTTAAATTTGGTGAGTTTTAACTTATCAAATGCTTTAGCTTGAAAAAAGAAATCTTGAATCTTTTTTTTTTTTAAAAAAGTTGTTTTAAAGTATTTTTACTGAAGATAGCAGCGCCAATTGTTGTTTTTGCAAGATGACTTCAAATTGTCATATTTATATGCTGCAGTTAAAGGTTACCTTGCAAACACTAATAAATTGTTTTACGATTATTATACATACTAATAGGCTTTTCATCTTTTACAAATCAGATTTGGGTCTAGATAAAGTAAGAAATCAATATTCCACAATGCAATTGAACTACAAAATTGTATTATCAACTATACAACTTTAAGTGTAATCCAAAAAGGATAGGCATATGGAATAATCGAAAGTGTAAAGTTTTGGAATGCTATCAGGTTATTTTGCATGACTTACTTAATACAATGTACATTTTTTATGCTTTGGTTTTCTTTAACTTTATATGGATAATTGTTTTGCCACTTAAACATTACGCTTTTCCATCCTCACCATATTCCTTATTGACTAATCATGGTATTATCTTTAACTCTCGATAGATTTTATGGTTGTACAATGAACTATTATATTATTTTTTTATTACATTCACTTACTTTAATAATGCTGCATTTCATGAACAAAATTATGTTTATATTCATCTTCAATTACACACATGAACATAATTGCATCTCATCTAAGCTAATATAAAAAATCTAACACATATGTCTTTCCTCACTAATATGTTTTAGTATTACTTTCAAGATGTCATAAGAGCATTGAAATCAATAAGTCCAATCAGTTGTATTGAGCTAACCACCTCCAAATGTGATATGTATATTCAAGAACCTAGTAAAGTAAAAAAAGAAAATATTCATATTACTTTTATTTATCATAACTCAAATTTCATTCCACTGCACCAATAATCACATTCTCGAAATTATAATGTGAGATGGGATGGTAACTTAAAATATAAAAAAAGAATAGCTTCATAATAACACGACAAATACAAGTAAATTAGATGTGCATTTTAATTTTTAATCATTACATTTCAACAATAAGTCCACCACGAAGCACAGGAATATCTCTATTTTGTATAATAATATCCTTTCATTTAGCAAAACATATAACATGTGATGTTATACATAATGCAATGCAATTTTAAAATTTATATAATATGTATAATAATATCCTTCCACTTGATAACACATATAACATTAGATAATGTATATTTTATCCCATTATATTTATACACTACACCCTATTGCTAGATCTGTATGAGATTCTATGTTCCTTGATAAATGCAGCTATTAAATTAGGTTTCTTTTATATATTAAGTTGTATATCTATTTTTTTCAGCTTTGCACGTTCATGGAAAATTATATTTTTATTACATTTAAATAGAAATTGAGATGCAAACCAAATTAGAAGATTTTTTTTTTATTTTGTCCATTAATAAAAATCAGTATTTCAAACTTCAAGGATATATTCTAGCTCATGATCTTTCAAAAAATTTAACTTACTTTCTATTTGATAGCAATATATAATCAATTTTTGCACTTCCTCTCTTTGTTCAATGTTGACATCACTAAGTTAAACATATTTCTATCATGATGATATTTTGAACCATGTATGTTCCTATTTTTTATTTAATTTTTTAATTTTATTTTTTGAAAATTGATATTGTCATGGTTAACTACAATTAGGGGCGATTTGCTCAACTGTAAACTAAAACATAAATTTGTTCATTTAATTTTGATAAAAAGTACAATACTTATGCTACAAAGAGGTTCTATATGGCCATTGGTTGCTTCATTTGAGGATCAATGACCTTTATGCGACCTTAACTTTTGACAATCTTGAGGGTATTTTTATTTAAAAGCAATGCAATATTGAACCTCAAATGTTTTGGTGTAAGAGAAAAAAAAATCATAAAAAATCACATAGAGCACCGCGAGAAAGGCTATAAAAACATTTGATTCTGCATGTGATATTTATGTTCATAAATTTGCTTTTGTAGAAAGAGGCAAAATTGGAAAGGAAATAGGATGTTTAAGTTGTCCACGGTTCTAGCATGGATAGCCAAAGAGTTGTTGG